CAGTATACTATATTTTGTCAATTAACATTTATCATCTTCATTTAAATTGCAATTATTATAGAAAGAAAAAAAGATAATTTTTATTCGTCCTCTATATCGATGTTTGTCATAGGTGCATTTATTTATTCCATGTTTTATTTTAATCAAATGCTTGAGAGTCCATAAGTTGTTCACAAACATATCTAATATTAGATTTGTTCTTTATTATTATAGTAATTGAAATATCTCTATTTGTTATTAAAAGAATTAAAGTTTTCATTATGACACATGAATCAAGTGGAACTATAGTTATAGATGAAATTGAGTATGTAATAAAAATGAAGGAAAAAATTGAATATTTTATTTTTTTTTCAGTCGTCTATTTGTGGTATATGATAAAGCAAAAGAATATATTAATAAAATCTTACATGGTATTAATCATCAAACAGATTTATGGCAATATCGTCGACAAATAATTTTTGATCAAATGAAATCAACATCATCATTTGATTTTCTTCTACCAAAAACTCAACGTATTAATGAATTAGCTATTGAAGCTGTTCAAGGTTAATTAAATGAATATTAGTTTTAGTTTTTTTTTTAAGAAAAATTAATTTCTTTTTTTTTATCAGCTCTATGTCGAGTTGATTTATTAATTGAACAAATTCTTCATATTGATCCAAAATCATCATCACAAACACATTCAATACCAAGATCAACATCATTTTCAGCACGATCATTAGATACAAATGTTTCACATTCAACAGCAACTACTGTTTTATCACGTACACATCATGTTGTACCTTCACCATCGTTAAATTCAATAAATCAACAACAACAACAATCATATACAGAACCAACACTAAATGGTAAAACAATTGGAAAACAAACATTACCTATGCCTGTACTTCGAACATCACAACCAACACCATCAAATCGTTTATCATTAGCAGCTACACAAGAAAAAACTGGTTTTAAACCTATTGAACAACAACGAACATCAAATATTTCAGAAAATACATCACGACCAACACCAATTCATCCACAAACTACTCATTATCCAGCTACTGAAGGACTTAATTTTGTAAGTTTTAAAATTATAAGAATATTTCATTAAGTTATTTTCATAGAGACATATTATTTAATTATAAAAGATATACTAACAAATACACATCAAGTTTATTAACCCTAAGCCAACATTTTTGTGAACTCGGGCCTGAGTTTTGTTTCTTTTTTGTCAATATTTGGCTATCTTTGTGTACATGAACAAATCAACGTACAGTTATTTCTTGTTGTTCACTTACAAGGAGAGATTAGTAAAATACGCTGTGACCCATTCTAAGCATTATTTTAGTAGAGACTTATACTAATCGATAGAGCTTAAAATTCTGAGTCTACTGAATCTCACTCTGAGAAATGCTTCGAAAAATAATGTTACATGAAGTTGTAGTCAATGTCTGACGTCTTTCTTCAGTAACAATATGTAGCAGAATCCCAGTTGACATTAACTTTTCGAATGTTTACTTTTTTTTGAGCTTTTTGGATCAACGTGAGTCAGAACGTATTTTATTCATATCTCGTAAGAGATAACTCCATCAGCTGATTAAGTTCCTATTTTGGCTATTAGTAGAATTGATAAACTATGTCCAATGCTTGAATTACAATATTGTAACTGTAGATCAATTATGATGACAAATTGAAGAAGAGGAGTTAGAGAACAAGATAACTAATGTACTATACAGTGGCGTAGCCAGGGTTAGGGCCATTAGGCAATTGCCCATAGATATTTTTGAAATCATAACGGTTGCCCTCAGTCGCCCGTAACTCAAAATAGTTCAGCTAATGAATTGCCCATGACTGAAAAATTCCTGGCTACGCCACTGGTACTATATGACAACATAGTGTAGAACGAACATGAATACATACATAAGAATAGATTGGGAAAATTCCCTATGCGAACTAAAATAACACAGTGGGAAAATTCCTATATACGAAAATATGAATATTTCCAACTCTTGTGAATGTTTGTAAACTCACCATCTGAACAATAACATTTCTATAAAGGGCTCTTATTCTTTCCTTTATATTTGTTCTGATATGAGTTATGACTTTGAATAAGAAAGTATGTAAAGAAAACAGTAGATACAAATAATTGGATTCTATTGTATTGAAATATTAATGTCTGATACTTCTTTTCTGCAGAAGTTAGCTCATCAAATGAAATCCATTTGAGATTCCTCTAGTCTCGTTAATTGGAACGAGCATTTTGCGGATGTTCGCAATTTTTACAGCGATTCAGGTTTTCTTAAATTCATGCTTATGCAATATTCTATTAATATAACTTTCACTAATAACAGTTATAAATAAATCGAAATTATTTTTATAGATACGTTCAACAGTACCATCCTACGGCGGACGAACACCACAATCAGATCATATGGCAGCTTCTTCGACTAATCAAATGATGAGTAATTATCAACAACCACCTCGTATGTGAAAATAAATGAAATATTGTTTCTTTTTTTTGTTGTTTTGTCACTGTTAAAGATTTTTTTCCTTTTTTTATCTAGGTGGTAAAGTTCATGTAAAATTACAACGAATTCCACCTGGTACAAAATGGAAACAAGCAAAAATTGATGTTATTGATTCACTTTCAGCATTTTATGTTGAAAATCTTGATCCAAAAGTACATGAAAAATTTAATCATATGTTAGAAGATCTTCAGTATGTTCCAAAAAAAAGGAAAATTATTCAATAAAATAATTTATTTTTTTTTCCTTTTCAGTGATTATTATAGTCGTTTAGAACAATCAGATAAATTAATACCATTAGAAAATATTTCCATAGGTGATTTTGGTGTTGCAAAATATAGTGAAGATGATCGTTGGTATCGTGCACGTTTATTAATGTGTGAAGAACATGATCGTATACGAATTGTTTTTATTGATTTTGGAAATATTGAAACAAAACTTATTAATGAATTTTTTCCACTTGATAAATTATATACTGATTTACCAGCACAAGCTATTGCTTGTAGTTTATCTGAAGTATTAAAAGACAAAAAAATCAATTTTTTTTTGTTTTTGATAAGGATTAAAAGAAAAAAACATATTGTTTTAGGCTTATCCTCGTACACCAAATGATAAAGATTCATTATGGCCAGATGAAACAAATCGAATTTTTCGAGAAGAAGTAGCTGATAAAATAGTTGAAGTTTCATTTGCTAATACAGAAGAAGGAACAGAACAATGGTTTGTGTTTTTCATATATTGAAAGAAAGTTTTTTTTTTTTTTTGTTTTATTTTCTATAATAGGCCATTACATTTTGTTAGAATTACTGTTGGAAATCAGGTAAGATAATATTTATATGTCAAGAAATTTGAAGTTTGTTTTTTTTTTTAATATACATATTTATTTAGACAATAACAAATTTATTAAGTTTAAAACAACGTATTGAACCAAGACCAAATCGTTTTATTGCTGAACAATTAGCAAATTCTCTTACGCATCAAGAATATATTCTTTTCAATGTACCTATTACCGAAGAGGAATTTGATTGATACATGCAAAAAAAAAACAAATAAACTTTAGTGAATAGTGTTCTAATTTGTCTGTTTCTTAACGACAAATATGTTATTTTTTTTTCTTTTCTTTTCTGCATTCAATGTTTTATGTCTTGTGTCGATAGTGTTCTTTTTTTTTTCTTTTTGTCTTGAGATTTATTATGACTTTCGAAAGTGTTGATGCAAAGATAACAAAAAAAAAATCCTTATGGATATATAATTTCAGGAGAGTTGAAAAAGATGAGATTGGATCCATCTTTATATCAATATATGTGCATTTTCAGATCATTGTATTTTATATTGTTAATACAATATCATCTTTTTGTTTCGTTATTTTTGATAAATTGATGTTTGTATTTTATTCTTAAATTATTATTGAGGAAAAAAAAAAGAAGCCAAGTGATTAAAAAAAAAAAAGATGGTAAATATATATTTTAAATGAGAATTGTTTTTAGTAATTAGAAATTAATGAAATAAAATTAAAACTTTATGTATATATTTTTTTTGTTTTTTTGAATATCTAAAGTTACATTGTTTGTATTTAAAGAGTTCCTGTTAAAAATATGATCATTCGTAGAAAACTTAAGAAAAACTATTTTATATTCAACAATCAATGAACTTTTTTATTCAAATCATAAGAACATACTCTAGTATGTGTGATTTTTTTTTTCTTTTCAATTATTATTTTTTTTTTTATGTTATTCATACAGTTTAAACAATTGCTGAATGAATTTATTCTATTGTCGAATATGAGTAATATTTCATTACCATAATAATACGCCGTGGAATGATCTTCAGGTAAAGCCTTGATCAAGATGAACATCTCAACTTGTGAGTAAGTTACGGTTATATAGGGCGATCCTATTCGCCCGTCATATATGGCTATCGGGTTTTGCCTTATACGACCGTTTATGATCATGCTTTTTCAATATAGGACAAAGGTAGGTATGCACCAATTCCAGTCCGACTGGGACTGGTGCATACCTAGACAAAGGTCAATTACATAATATGAAAGTTGACTGTATTCGAATGTCATTATGCACTTTAGAAGCTATCGAATAATTTCCACTATAACAGATTTCGTAGTAGACAGAAAAAAGTTTAAGAGCAATCGTTGTATACATCGAGCCATTAATCCTAAACAATATGCAATCGTATATATTCAATTGGTTCGATCTTCATTCTCACTATTAGATATAGATCTCCCCATGAATCTGTATTTTATATTTAGTTCAATATATGACAATGTTCAGTTGTTTTATGAAATATTTATTTAATATTCAAAATAATAATTATTATATAACTTCTATTAATATAATAACATTTAATTAATTTGAAATGAATAAAAGACTTTTGTAATTGACTTACTTTCGATTGTTGATATTAATATTAAAAATTCAATGAAAAAAAATTTTTTTTTTTGTTTTTTATGTATTTAATTTAATATTATTTTTAGATATGAATACTTTAAATAATTTAAATTCAGTCGAACTTTTCGACGATATTGATCATCTTCTTTTTTTGTGTGATCGTCTTAGTAATCGTTTACTTCAAGTTAATTCCTATGTTGATGAAGTTAAACAAACATGGATGAATAAACGACATTCAATTGAATTAGATTCTAATATATCACCAATTGTTGCTCAAAAAGTATCAAAATGTAATCAAGTTTTATTGAATGTTGCTGAAAAACTTGCAATTGTTGAACTTCAAACAGAATCTTTACATAATCTTCAATCTTCAATTACAAATATTCTTCTAACTGGTAGTGAAAAACGTGAAGGTAAATAACAAAAAAAAGACAAACAGATCTCTATTAAATTTTTTTTTCTGTTGTAACATATTAGTATGTCCTTCAATGTCATCTATTAATCAATTATCAGAACGTGTTCCTTCATCTTTTGTACAGATGTCTAATATTAAAAATGAAAATGTTAATACTGGATTTCTATCACAACGAAATATATCTTCTAATACAGGACGTTCATTAAATGATCAACAAGTTGGTTTTAATTTTCAAAATCCATTACATGTTACTACAAATTCATCAACAAATGTATTTACACCAAGAAATACAGCAACATTATTTCAACAAAAATATTCATTAGGACAACAATCATTAGAACAAATTCAATTACAACAACAATCTGCTTTTCATCGACCATCATCAATTGTTCAAAAAGATAATGGCTATAATCAATCGAAAATTTCATCACAAAATTTACTTATTTCACAAACATCTGATTTTTCAACACTACAAAAATCAATACCAAATGGATCGATAAGTGATTATCAACAACAATCATCCAGTACTCGTCCATCAACTATGTCAGATACTTATTCATGTATATAAAATCTAACGAAAAAAAATTTTTTTTTTTTTTTTATTGATTAATTTATTTTTGCATTTTAGCTCGAATATCAAATCAAACTAATGGTAAAGTTCGTGTTAAAATGCAAGTTATTAAAGCTAATACTATTTGGCATAATGCTGATATACCAATTATTGATCATCCATCAGCATTTTTTGTTTGTAATCAAGATCCACGTGTTGCTGAACAATTTAGTATAATGTCAATTGAAATGAAGTAAATAATAAAGTTTTATTGAATAAATATTTATTAACTTATTCTTTTAGTAATTATTATAATAAATCAACTAATATAACAATACCTTTACGAAATCCATCGATTGGTGATTTTTGTGTAGCTCGTTTTAGTGAAGATAATCTTTGGTATCGAGCTCGAGTTGTTCTTATACAAGGTAGTTATATAATATATATTTATTATTTTATAAATTTTAAATCTATATTTTAGATGAATCTATACTTATTGTTTTTATTGATTATGGTAATTCTGAAACAAAACCAGCCAATGAAATTTATCCATTACAAGAATCATTAGCTCGTTTACCTGCTATGACTGTTGCTTGTACATTAGCTGAAGTAAACTTTCTTTTAATTGATTCTTTTTTTTTTTTTTTTATAGAATTAATTTTTTGTTTTTTAGGCATTTCCACGTAATGAAAATTTTTGGACTTCAGAAGCAACTCAGATATTTACTGTACTTGTAAAAAATCGTATTGTTGAAGTTCAATTTCAACAAGGCATTGGTCAACAATGGTATATAGAAGTTTTTATTATATGAATTTTTTTTTTTTATTGGTTTTTCTTTCTTTGATATTAGGCCGCTTCATTTTGTTAAAATTATTCTTGATGGACAGGTAAATTAATAACATCCGTTGTGTTTTGTATGAAATATCTACGAAAGATATTTATTTATTTTTGAATTTTTTCAGTCGATTACTCAACATCCGAAATTAGCTCCATATATAGTACCAGCTCATAATGAAGAAATTGCAATGCATTTTAATGATAAACTTACATCAATGGAATATATTTTATATAATGTAGCCGTTGGTGAATCAGATATTTATAATGATAGTAAGTATAATAAATATAGAAATTAATATTATGATTATTAATTGAATAAATCTTCATTTAGCTTTTCCATGATAAACTGAATGGCATATTTAATTAAAACATTCAAAAAATTTGTATTATTTTTCTTTGTTGTTTATAAAAGATAATACGGTGATAAGGTTGTGATTTTCATACATTGCAAAAAATGAAAACTTAGCTAATCGATATATCATCATCATCAGATTTTCTGTTTGTCTTTTGTTTTCTGTTATTTGTCTTTCTTCAGAGTACTTTTTTTCTTTTTGTTTTCCATATATATATGTATGTGTATGTTTGCTGATGGATGTATAAAACATTCATCTCTTGTCTATGTTTTTGAAAGCACAGCTTTCCTATTCGTGAACAAAATAAAAAAACAGAGAGAATGTAATTTTTCTTTTTGAAAAACAAAAAAACAATAGCAACATGTTGTAAGACACTATTTATCATGATCAACAGCATGTCTAATGAAATATACTACTCGATGAAAAATTATTTGATTTTACATGTGTATATATGTATCATGCATGATCAATCATTAATAATAGACTAAATGAATACATCTTGTTTTACGTACTTTTTATTATTAATCTACTTCAAAAATATTTACAAATCTGACACGTTTATAATTCACACATATCCACAAAAACTTATTGCATTAGGTCAATATGAATCGAGTGTTGGCATTATTACTAATCTTATCCATTTTAATAAATCATCAGTAAGTAAATTGTACTAGCCTGCTTTTCTTTAAAAAAGACTTATAAATTATATTATATTTTTCTTTTTGGTTATTAAGTGTGTCTGTGAACTCATGGAAAACAGATCATTCCGGTAAAAATGCATGGTTTCATCGATATGCTCTATACCGGTTGATTATCGATAACGCTCAATTTGCTGATCATTCTCGAACATCTTCAATACAACAGTTACTAAGAGAACGAAAAATTCCACTTAGACATATAATTTCTAAAGGCGATCCACGAGAATTTCTCGGTTAAAATTCTGAAATTGAATTAAAATAAAATATCTGATTGGTTATTAGCACCATCTATAGTATAGTTAACATGACTTTTTCTATATGAAATTCGTATTGATATTTGAACTATTGGGCTTTTGGTCAGTAATAATGATAAATAATAGAAAGAAAAGTGCATTTCTCTAAGAAATTTATGGATTTTCAAGAGTTATATCCGGTAAATAATTTAATTGGTCAATTGGTCGAATAATGGATTTACATTTGTTCATTTGTTTTAACCAAAAAATAGGGTATTTTATGAATTTTAATATTAATTCTGCTTCTTGCTAGCCAAAAATATTCATAGAAACAAAATATAGTGGCATATCACTTGAATAGCAATCAAAACATTATCAATATTCTATTAGAGATTATCCATTGAGTTGTATTCTATGAATATGATCCACTTACTTGAGGCAAAAACTTGTAAAAACAACAGTCAAATGTTCAACATCAACAAAAAACAAAAATCATTTCATTAGCTAATCATATAGCAAAATATTTTTTTTCTTATTTCACGTGCTCTGAAATGTACTCTTTTTATTCTCTTATAGATCAGCTAGATCTTTTTTTAGCTATCCAATGATAACAGCTTAAACACTGTACTAATTAGACAATCCTAGTACAATATAGATATGGAAACAACAGAACTCAATACAATCAATCAATCTCAACTCAAGGGTATGCAAGATAAACTAATGTATTTTTCATCAATTGACATTTTACTATTGATATGAAAATAAATTCAATAGCTTCGAACTTTCATAGTAAGATAACAAAGATGTTTTTTGAACTAGCAAAAATAACACATTTGAAAGTTTCTTCGTTTAGCATGCATTTTTTTATAGTTTGTTGAGAGACGATTCAGAAATCAGGCGTCCCTAAGAAACAAATTAGTTGAAATGAAGTATATTTCCTATGATAACAATCTATAGTAATACTTTTTAGTCTTGAAAATGGATCTCTTCAATATGACAAAAGACAAGATTTTGATCGTACTTATTTGATGTGATATCATATTTACAAAATCTAATATTAATCTGTTACAAATAAGATGCTTCGTTTGTTTCAAGATGTACACATTCAACAACGCAAACTAATCTGAACATTGTTGACTAAACGATCGATATACTTGGTATAACAATATTATATAATTAATGATACAATATGATTTTTACTGTCATTTATGCAACCTGTTTTTATTTCATTCAATAAAAATTGAAAAATTATTTTCTTGTCTTTGTTGAACTAAGTGTGAGTGCATAATTATCTTTTTCTCTTCCATAGTAACTATGCATATGACATTGTCAAAAGAAACAAAAACTTGCTTGCTAAAAGCTTCATGAAAGTTCATACACATTCATTAGCGAGTTTAGAGTCTCAGACTAATCGGACAGTCAATCATAGAGACTCTTTTCAAATAGAAATACACTGTATTATATGAAAATACCTTGGATGATAAAAATTCTGCACTAGCGTCTATACCTTGAATAGAATGACATGTTTTTTAGACTTCGTTCTGTAGATGCTTTCTAACAAAACGACATCATTGCCATATATTTCAGAAAGTCAGAATTGTTAGTGCATAAAAGCGGTAAATGAGCCGTGAAACAATTCTTTCACAATGTGTTATGAGATAGTGACATACGATGCTTGTATTAAAATGATTGAGAAAAATATAATCAAAGCAAATAATAGTAATCAACTGTATAGAAAAAAAGCATGTGGATGATTGACATTTTTTTAATAAAAAGAAAGCTGTGTATTGTAATCGTTATGAATGAATAACTAGTCGTCTGTTCTATTAGATTGACCTCTACTCAAAAATGATTTGATACTTATACATACAGATAACTAGCTTCGAACGTAATTATTGTTTAATCTGGAATTGTATGAATAATCAGTATTGATATTTTTAAGTGATATAAATAGATTTTAGAGAAGATCTTGAGCAATCCAGACTTCTTGCATCACACGTACTTTTATATAGTATTTTATAATCATATATTATGATTTTTCTTTTAGAAGTTCAATAGTTATTCAACATCAAGAATCAATCAAAGCTATATGACAATAAAATAACGGTTTGATCTCTCATATTGATCATGCATCATCGATCTTTATTCAATTACCTATCCAACAACAAATATTTCAGCAACTTCATAAAAATGTCAAGTCATTTTTCGAATATTTTCAGATTCTGGTAGATCTTTAAACTGAAAGAATTTCATTCAATATAATAACTGATATTGTATGATATTTTTAGTGAGTTTTACAAAACAACATTAGACAATAAATGATCTTCAACAACTTATCAGATCGATAACTTTTGTATAGTTCATTATTTGAATATTTGTATATACAATAGTGAATTTTATCGAGCTCGTATTCTTCATATTGATTGATATCGTAAGTTGGTTATACTTTTAGTCGAATATATTAGAAACTACTAACGATCTTATTTCAGATACAAGTTCTCGTCAAATTCAAATTTTTTTTTTTTGTTAATTTTGAATCTTCTAAATGAACAAAATCTTGTCGTTCACAAACATAAGTTATTCCATACTCAATTGATACAATAGGTCTTCGAACTCATAAATTTATGACATATTCTATATTAGATGAGAAAAAGTATATTTAAAATTAGACAAATTAATTTTTTAACAAACAGATTTTAACATCAAGTGAATTGCAGTATAAAAAAAAAAGAACTGCATGAGACATAACTAAAACAAATAGAACATATCGAAAGTGAGAAAGTCTTATGAGTGTATTTTTTTTTTTTTGAAAAAGATATAGATTATAAAAAAAGAATTAAATTTGAAACCTTTCTACTCTTCATTATTATTATTTGTTGTCATTGGTAGCAATTCTCATAACTAATAATAATCATTCGTCATCTAAAAAAGCTTCTCAAGGTTTTTAATAACGCCAGAAGCTATAAAACATATTTATCTAACAGAAAAAAAAAAAAACATTATTTTCATAGCTCGTCATATTTCTATATTTACACATCATCAACTAAAATAAAAATCGAATCATACATTTTGTTTTTGCTTTATTCAAGAATCAGTGAATGTATATCATATTTCTTCTACTAAGCAAATAGAAGCAATATATATATATATAATAATGAGTAATTATGAATGTTTCATAACTTGTATAAATTGTAGTAAGTGCAAATATCCTATGAAATTTCGATCAAATAGAAGAGAAAAAAAAATCGAGTTTTATAAAAAACAAAAACTTCTCTATATACTATAAAATATGTTTTATTATGATTTTTACTTGATATTTGTTCAATATTTTTAGGTGATTAACAAAGATGATGAACAAATTTGAAAATTAATCATTCAATTAACTATAGAAAAATTATATTGATAATTTAATATGAATAACAATTCATTTAGATTATATTTTATTCTAAAGATAATATTTATATGAAATTAAATAATATTTTCTTTTTTCTTTCTTTTGTTGTTCAATACAAAGAAAAAAAAAGCTTCAAAACTTTTAGATTGCATTTTTTTTTTCTTTCTTACGATGAATGAACAATTAATTGATAATGTTTTTATCAAGAAATCAAATGAATATAAACAATCAACATTATCACCATTAACTGACATGGCTGATAGTGGTATTGTTAGTCGTATAACACCATTATCATCAATAAATGAAAATAAACTTAACATTCATCACTATGATGATGAGTCGATAACAACTGAAAATCAAAGTTTGTCATTTAATTTAACTAATATTAGTAAATGTAGGCAATTCATCTTGTCTTTTTCAATATTTATATATATACATATTGCTGTTTTTCTCCCCCTCCCCTGTAGTAGTACTTAAGTACAAAAAATGTGAAGAATATGTACGATATCCTAATTGTCTGATAACTTATCTTGATCATCCATCCGCTATATTTCTTCAAATATTTGAAGATGGTTCTGCTTTTCAACAAATGCATCAAGATATAAAGTGAGAATTTTCTTTTTTCTAATCTCGAGTTTTTGTTTTTTTTTTTTCCGTTATACTTTAATAGTCGATTTTATATGAATAATCTAAATGCATATTCAAATATTTCAACAAAATATTTTGAAATAGGAGATTTTTGTGTGGCTTATTCATCTCAATATTTTGAATTTTTTCGTGCTAGAATTCTAAATATTGATCATAGAAGTATGAAAAAAAATTATATAAGAAACAAAAAAAAAAATAATATAAATAAAATCAAATTTAGATAAACAATATTTAGTCATATATGTTGATTTTGGTAATTCAGAATGGATACATATAAAAGGTATTCGTCCTCTTTATATTGAATTTACAAAATTAAAAATTCAAAGTATTCCTGTAACACTTTCTCATGTATGTTTTTTTTGTTAATTTTTTTTTCTTTCATTTTCATATTAATTTATAATATAGATTCTTCCAAAAAAAGATTTAAAAACTGATACAATCAATTGGAATACAGACATAGGTAAACAATGTACACGAAAATTACGTCGATTATTAATTAAACCTGATAGTGAACCATTTTTATTTGTATCTGTAACATTTCTATCGAATGAAAATTGGTGGCCATTACATTTTGTTGATATTAAAATTGATGGTCAGGTAAATAAAAATAAAAATATAATTTTCTATTCTATTGATAATTAAGTTCATTACTCATGAAAATTTCTTTACTTCTCCATTGATTTAGTTATTTTATACTATTTCTTTTCGTTCTTTATCACACCTAGATTCTTTTCTTTATTCGAATCATTTACCTACTTTCTTTGAAACATATATAAATAAATGTGGATTTGTATATAAATATAGATTTTGTCATCATCATGATCCTAGTCAAAGTTCTAATATATCATTTGTTGATTTGATGTTTAATTAAAATTTGTGTAATATTTATATATTTGTTTAGTAATTAAAAGAAAAATAATTACAATAGAATATTACTATTTTATTTTGTGGAGGCTTGTTCATATTTGTTATCAAAATAGCTATGTTATGCAGATTTCATTCATCAATCAACTATACAAAAGTTTGAATCGGAAGTGACAATATTTACATTAAATCTATGGTGCCACCACCCTCTACTCTCCAATCTGTATGAGGATGTAAGAATAGAGTAGCTTAATATCTACACCCATATTTTAGATAAAACAGGACAAAAAAAAAAGACATCGAATAAATTCATAGACGACATAAAACATATTTTTGATTATTATAGGATTTAGCTAATATACTTCATAATGATGGACTTGCACGTCTTACACGTAATAATAAAGATTTAAAAATAATCTATCCAAATTTTGGTAAACATCCGAGTGAACAACTTATTTTTGGTATACAATTATCGAAATGATTTAAAAGTATGATTATAGATAAAAATAATGATTATTTTTGTTTTTTTTCAAAAAATTATTTGTTATAGATAACTAACTGTAAAATGATTGAAATATTATTCGTGTATATCAAATATTGTTAGTATAACATGATTTTTTTACAAAAAATATTCGAATATTTTTCTATTTTTTTTTAGTCTGGCATGTGATCGATTTCTCATAAAAAAAAATAAAAACATACACTATATTATCTCATATTTTCTTTTTTTCTTCTAATCATTCAATGTCAGATCGATGATAATGAATTGTTATTTATGTATTTTTTTTTCTTGTTGTTTTTCTTTTTCATTTTAAGTCATTATAACAAAGATTGCCAATAACTATATGATTATCATCTTTATATGTAGACATTAAATCTCGATCAATATCGAACGAGATAATTAAAATAATATATATATATATTGTAGATTTATAAAACAACAAAAATTATCCTTTTTTTAAAAATATAGTAATTTATATTCAAACATCGATCTTTACTTATTAAATTACAGACGAAACATATAAGATTTCTTATTCAAAAAAAGAAGTAAAGACAAAGACATTTCTTTTTGTTCATCATACATATGCAAAAATCACTTAAAAGGTTTGCTTTTTATACTAACAAAACTTTCAATCTAAATAGAGTTTAAAGATTATGTATAAAACTATACGTGAATAATTATCTCTCAACAGCAATACTTATTAATATTTCTTTTTTTTTTTACATGAAATTCTTTGAATATCATATTCATACATGTAATAAATTTTGTAATACATTCATATATGTAGGTTTTAATCTGTCACTTTCACTATGTCTTATATGATATTATATAAGAATTAAAAGTGTAGTATATTTCATTGTGTCGTTATAATTATATACATAAAAGAAAATATTTTCGAAGTGTTAAGTAAATAAGATCTCATACATCTCAAATATGTTAATCTACTAGCTTTTTTTTTTATAATCAGTTAATTAGAATCAAGTTTAGAAATTCTCTATCGAATAAAAGGTGTTAAATGTCTACTGATATTTATCCTTGGATTTATCTTTGTTCGATCATTTTTATTAATTTTCTTTACTTATGTCCGTGATTACTTTTTAAGTAAGAAAAAAAAAAAAGAAACAAGAGTTCTTCCCGAGAGGTGAACAATGAAGAAATTCATACTCTACTCAATCAACTATATAAAATCAGTTGATTATATAATGTTATACATATATTTTTATTTCACCTGGAGATGAAAGAAAAATTAATCTAGTTGAATAAAAAATTGAAAGTAGTTATTTCATAATCTTTCTTATCTCTAAATACATAATTCATTGAATATATTTATTTCTAAAGAAAAAAAATATTTACTATGTTGATTAATAAGAAAAGAAGAAAAATTTAAAGTTTCATTATTGATACTTGAACATTTTTTCTTTATTTTTGTTTCTTCAGGTTGATATTAATCAAATATAACAGCTTGACATAAAAATATAAGAATATGATTTACAATTGAATATAAATATAACATATATATCAAAATCTCAAGTAAAGTATTAAAAATTTCAATTCAATTTCTCATCAATCATTTTTCTTTTAGCATAATTTAAATAAATGTTGTTAAGCATTAGTGAAATTGAAATATGCTGATCAAACATAATGAACAAGTGATGATTTGAGTGACAACTCATTTGGTCAGTATTTCTATATGTGTGAAACACAAAAAAAAAAAAAAAGAAAATTATCCATAGTTGATTATAATAATGTCCGTTTCTAGATAATTTATCATATGAATGTGTATAATTGTTCATATATCTGATAAAGAAAACAAAAATGAATCTTTTTTTTTTTTTTTCATTGTCTCAAAATTGAGCTATTTTATATATATTTTCTCAAGAAAGAGACAAGCTTCAATAATAGACGAAGAAATGTGTCACACAAGAGAACCTTCAACACTTCTTATTGCTCGTCTTTTTAAGCTCGACCTCGACATGTCATTTATATTGATAGTTTGTCCAATAGTATAAGGAAAAGAAAAAAAAAAAAAAAAAGAAGACAGATCTATTGTTCTCTCATCTATTATGGTCCAAAATTGAATTTTTTTCCCATCGTATATAGAAAAAAACTAATCGTTCATCATCATCATCTGTGGGAAAAGAGAAAGAAAAAAAGTGTGCATTCATCATCATCGGTCATTCAGCAAAGAAAAGAAGAAGAAGAAGAAAAAACCAGAGAAAGCATAAAAAACACAGCGGTGAGTTCTAATTGATATATCCGAATAAGAAGGAAGCTAAGGATAAGAAATGAAAGTCATGATGATGATGCAATTGCAATGGATGTACATGGTAAATGAGAGAAGGTGAGCGGTCGGTCAAGTTGTTGGCCTTCATTTTACACACAGTTGTTGTTTGTTCTTCTCTTTATACATATATCGTTATAGTAAGCCTATTATATTTGATGTTCTAGTTTATATTATCCCCACATATACATACATATATATATATATATATGCATATGTATGCTCCTTAATTGCGCACATACAGAAACAAAAACATATATACGCGTACTATGCTTCGTTTCTTTTTTTTTTTATTGTTGTTGTTGTTGTTTTTCTAGATGAACATAGAATGTGGACGAAAGGATATATATGAATGACGATAATATATAAAATGCTTATTTTTCTTATTATTTTTCTTTTATTAATTAATATAACAAATGGAATTATTGAAAATTCAACTAATATTATATTATATAATCATTCATTATCATTAGAAAAATTTTTATATCAACAATATGATAATCGTCAAATAAAATTAAATCATACAATAAATCATTATCGTCCATGGAAAAAATCAAATTCTATTGAAGTATTAAAAAAAATTATGGCTACACATCGACAACGTTCATTAATTAATAATCGTACATTAATAACTACTAATATTACAAGTATGTTTATATTTGAAGATTTTTTGTTCTCTCTTCTAAAACATTGACAAGTTCATAATAAAAAAAAAAAATGTAATTATATATTATGACATCAAACATTTAAAATAATATGAAAAAACAGGAGCAGTTGTTTTTATACTAAGTTAGTACATCAATGAATATATTTGTCTTGTTGATAAATGATATCATCAGTTATCAATCATTGATATCCGAACTATGACATATGTCTTGTATGTTAATTTATCTTAATACGAACAGAAAAATTATGTTATATATCCAGATTTTTCTCTTTGAAAAGAAATCATGCCTAATCTCTGAAGGACATAAATATCTATTGATTTTATAAATATATAAAAATAAACGTTATTTCTATGTTAGATAATATCATTATTTAATACAAACTATAAGATCATTTTTTTTTGCTTTAGCACATGTTCTTATTGAATGTTTGGTTTTTTTTGTTTTTTTAACATAAACTATCCGTATATCGATCGATTACAGATTAACTTCTAGTATAAACATGATCATATTAACAAGAAAGTCTATAGGCTTATATAAATAAATCTTCTATAACCTTTTTAGTTATGATCTTGAGATTCAAATCATCAAATATACAAAAAAAAAGTTATTGAAATATATATCTAATAATAATCAATTTTATTAATAATAATTTCTAAAGATATTTAAAATTAACAAATGATTATTAGTCATTCATATAACAATGATTTTCAAATATAAAACAAAAAAGAAAAAGAGAATTAAATCTATGATTGATTATAAAATAGAATTTAAAGTTGATAAATTTTTATATTAATTATATTTAGCTATAACAACTACACCATATACAACAACAATAAGAGATTTATTAATAACATCATCATTTTTTGTACGTGTTAAATCAAAAATTCAATCAACAAATCTTACAACAGAATTATTAACAACATATTTAACTACAGATGCTGCAACATCATCTAATATTGAATATATTTCAACAACAAATGATTTAATTCCTTTATTATATTCATCAACAACATTAAAAATAAATACATCATCATCATCATCAAATGCAACTATATTTGTTATTATACTTGTTTGTAGTTTTAGTGGTTTTATTTTTCTTGCACTTATTTTTACATTCCTACTCAGGTAAAAAATATTAAAAATAATTTTTTTTTTAATATTTTTTTTTTTTTTTGTTTAACACGTAGACGACGTATAAGTATTGCTTATTTTAAATTACCTTGTATACATTCGTCATCGGAAGCAAAAGATTCTCGAGACAATACACCATTATCCCATTCACCGATTCATGGTAAGCATAAATAAGATTAATTTTATGTGTCTGTACGGGATTAGAATGACAATATTTGATAGGTTTTATTTTCTTTCTAATTTGTATAATATAAATAGTTAGTCAAAAAAAAATAATAGTTAGAGAATATAGTATTTTTGAAATGAGTAGTGAACAATACTCTTTAGTTGATCCATTTAATTGTTACAATCGAAATTATCGACAAAAATTTTATTCTTTATCAACAAGAAAATATAATTCATTATCAAATATTAAATATCAACAAGATGATTTATCAAGTAATTTTGTGACAGTTTCACTATCAACAAATATTTGTTATAGTAGGTTTTTCTTTTGTGTCTTTTGTATTCAAGTAGTAATATTTTCTTAATTCTCTATATAGATAATAACTTCTTTTTCTTGATAATAATATGCATGTAGAATAAACTTTCTACTTGTCTCTTTTTTTTTTGTTTCATATGATTAAATTCGAAAGAAGTTTTTTTCTTTTTTATAGGTAAATTTACTATACCGGAAGAATTTCCAGTAGAAAGATTATATGATATTTATATGCAAAAACATGCTTTGGATGATTTAGCTTTTGCTATTGAATTTAAAGTAAGTTGTATTATGTTTTGTTTTTATTTAGATCTTCTCTTCCAGAGAAATGATTTAAGATTACAAGAGAGCGAATGAAGCGTCTATGCTAGATTAGCTACTTCTTTAATGTAATTAGTAGAATCTTTACCTGGTCACACTAACGAGGGAACCTTTCTAACTATCGCTTTCAAGTCATGAGTATGTAAATCCTAATGAGCTATGGCTACCATGAAAAGGATTTGTACTGTTAGCTTATAGTTGCTGAGATATTGTATTTTTAAATAGAAAGTCATGGTCCCCGTCAGAAACATTAGAAAAACTGACGAGGGAACATTCCAAAGTGTCCCATCGTTTTTGAGTTCGAACTCTATGCATAAGGTAGATCCCAGTGATGTATGAAAAACCCCAGAAGAATAAGTGCTCTTAGGCCTTCTGTCTAGAGTTATAGACATTTTACCGAAATTTTAGCCTTTGGCATGGTATATACCGATAAATCGAATAACTGTATTTCGATCTGCGATTTTGTCCACAGATAGATCTATTTGTGAGTAGACTATCCTGAAAATTTCAGCTCAAAAGAATGTTTTATTCCTGAGATATTAAAGTCCCAAAAAACAGTAAATTCTAGCATCTTTCGTGGGACATTATTGATTTTTTGGACTTTAATATCTCAGGAATAGAACATTTTTTTGAGCTGAAATTTTCAGCGTATTCTACTCATAAATAGATCTATTCGTGGACAAAATCGCAGGTTGAAATACCATCATTTGATTTGTCCGTATTTACCATGCCAAAGGCTAAAATTTCGGTAAAATGCCCATAACTCTAGACAGAAGGCCTAAGGGCGCTTATTCTTCTGGGGTTTTTCATACATCACTGGGATCTACCTTATGCATAGAGTCCGAACTCAAAAACGATGGGACACTTGGGAATGTTCCCTCGTGAGTTTTAAATTTTGACTTAAAACTTTGCATAGAGAAAGGTCTCAATGAGAATAGTCTATTGTAAAAGTTTCAGATCGTTTGCTTGTTCCTATCTTATGGTAAAAGCAAGCTTGTACATCGCTCATATACACTGACGGATTCCAATATTCTTATTTTAGACTAGGACCAATCAAAATGTCTGAAACTTTCATAATAAACTATTCTCATTGAGATCTTTCTCTGTGCAATGTTTTTGAGGAGGACTACGGCTTTCTTTTTAAAAATATAATATCTGGGTAGTAATAAGCTAGCAGTACGAACCCTTTTCAGGGTATTTATAGCTCATTAGAATCTACATACTTATGATTTGATAGTTGTAAAGGTTGCTTCGTCAGTGTTTTGAATCCAATTTTTTCTGTACTCGACTATAGACTTAGAATTTTAAAAGATTAGGTCGAATTTGGATTAAGCATGAATTTGATAGGCTATATAACAATGACAATTTGTTATTGGTGATATTAAATTTATTGTTTTTTTCTTTCTAGAGTATTCCCAATTTTGAAGAATTACCATGTACAGCTGCAACTCGAGCAATTGTTTCATCAAAAAATCGTTTTCTTAATATTTTACCTATTGATGCTACACGAGTTATTCTTAGTCTATTAAATGATGATCCATCTACAGATTATATCAATGGCAATTATATTTCGGTTTGTTAATTAGATTTAATTTATTTTTTTTGAAAATACAAATTTTCGTTTTACATTTCTTATAGGGTTATAAATGTCCAAATAAATTTATTGCAACACAAGGTAATATATCTTATTAGAAATAATCTTTGAGATATAATTAAGTATAATTTTTAGGTCCAAAACCAGATACATGTGAAGATTTATGGCGTATGATATGGGAACTTAAAATAAAATCAATTGTTATGTTAACAAATGTTATTGAAGGTGCTTCTCGTATGGTAAATATTCGTTTTTTTGTTTTGTTCTTAATTATTTATTTATTTATTTTTTCAAAGACAAAATGTCATCAATATTGGCCTGAACTTGGTCAAACAATAACTTATGGTTCATATTGTATAACTTGTATTGATATTATTTCAATAGGTGATTATGATAAACGTTATTTTCAATTAGCTAAAGTAAATTTAACAAAAACAAAAAAAGAAAAAAATTTTCTTTTTTTTTTTTATCTAAGATAAATACTACTGGTGATATATCCTCACCATCATCATCATCAATTATTCCAATTGATGATGCTGTATCTTTATCAACAATAAGTTCAATTCATGATGAACAACAATCACGTCTTATTATACAATATCATTATACACAATGGAAAGATATGGATGTTCCAAGTGATTCTCATACATTACTTCATTTAATACATGAAGTCAATGAACAAACAAATTCTGAACAATATCCTATTGTTGTTCATTGCACGTAAAATACAAAATAAATTTTTTTTTTGTAAAAAAAAAAAAAAAATTGTTTTTTTTGTGTATAGAGCTGGAGTTGGTCGTACAGGTACATATATTGCAATAGATGCAATGATTGATAAAATAAAACAAGAAGGAAAAATTGATATTTATAATTTTGTATTACAAATGCGTCGTGAACGTAGTCTAATGGTACAAACAGTGGTATGTTATATAGAAGGCATTCAGTGTGGTTTCATTTCCTGAGTGGGCGAGTCAAAATTTCGGGTGGGCGGCGCCCATTCAGTAGACGAATGACTGCTATATATTTTCGAGTGGGCGGTGCCCACCCGGTAGATAAATCATTGGAAGTCATGATAGATGTTATTAAATTATGATTTAATGAGGATTAAGTAAAATGATAAGGAAAAAAAAATATGTCTTGAAATGTGAGATTAGTTCGTTACATCATGTTTTATATTTTAATCTTAGAATAATTGTGTTAATAGTTTTTTGTTTTGTTTTTGTATAGAGACAATATGTATTTATATATCGATCATTATTAGAATATTATCTATATGGTAATACAAGAATTGAAGCAAATAAATTTCGATCAACATATACAAATTTAAAAAAAAATAAACAAAATTTATTAATTTTAGAATATAATGTATGTAGAAAAAAAAAAAAAAAACTTAATTTAAAAATTTATTTTTATTTAGAAATTATTATTATTACCTGTTGAAAATGTATCACAACGTGATGCATATTTATCGGATAATATTGATAGAAATCGTCATCCACAAATAGTACCTTGTAAGAAGTTCATATTTTTTTAAAATTAATACTAATTATATATATATCTGTTTAAATATAGATGATCGTAATCGTGTTTGTTTAAGTCGTATACTCGGACATCCATATATTAATGCATCATTTGTTGAAGTAAGATTTAATATTTGTCAAATGAAAAATTTTAATTAAATATTAAAATAGGGTTATTCTCATGATTGTTCTTTTATAATAACTCAAGATCCATTATCTGAAACTATTCATGAATTTTGGCGAATGTTTATTGAACATGATTCAAATTGTATTGTACAATTACATACAATAAATGATGTTAGTTAATTTTCTTTTTGTTTTTTTTTGTTATTTTTTATTCCTTATTGATTTGCTTTTGTTTTTTTTAGTCATCTCCTAAATGTCCAATTTATTATCCGAATGATTTTGATACAACAATGAAAATAGGTTCAACAACATTATTAAAATTAATACAAAAAGAATTAATACAAGAAAAAATGATAATTAGAGAATTTTGTTTAACAGATACACGTGAAGCATTATCAAAAACAATATATCATTTTGAATATCTTCTTCCTATAAGTACAAATGATGAATTTGAGAATGGACAATGTTTTCCAAGTATTTTAACAAATAGTTTATTTGATTTTATTGGTTATATTAATAAACGACAACATACAACTAATCATGATCGATATATTACTGTTCATTGTGGGTAGGTTAATTGGAAAAATGTAAATTTTTTGGGTAGTATTTTGATAGAAAAACTATTTTCTTTTTTTTCATGTAGAAGAAAAAAAAACGCAATTCTTTTGAAAACGTTTTAACTAAACCTTTTCTTTTCATCTGTATGAAAATCGCAGATCTTTATCTCATTCCTACTAAAAGTTATTCAAAAAATGTCTACGATCATTTAACTCTAAAATAGACAATAGATTAAAAATTTTCATCGTTAAATTTTAAATCCATTCGAATAATTTTCTATTTAATGTTTTTCATGCTGTATTTGAAATTATGTATTACTATTCAATATTCATATATCATTGAATTGATCTATATAAGAAGAACAATTGTATATGATTGATTGATGTTATCAGTGTACTGTACTAATTATCTTTAATACATACCTAAAACGACATAGTTCAATTACTTATTATGAATACATAATATTATCATAATAACCCATACGTAATCAACAAGCATTCATATGTATTACGGGCTGGTCTATTTATATAAATAATAATTGAGTGTAATTGACAGATCTTATCAGCATGCTCTACTAGTCTTGATGATGAATACTTATAAGTGTAATAGAATCGTCTGAAGTACATCGGCTTGTCCATGTAAATGCGTCACCTTCAATGCCGGTAGTTTGAAAAATCAGGTCTAAGTGTCACCAATATTATCCGTTGTAGTAAGAAAGAAAATATACATTTGGAGAAAAACAAAGAGTGAGTACAACACCCTCAGATTTTTGTCCTTTGTCCATCATCGCGTTACTTTGCTATGATTTTCAGAATGCTTTGCTCAATAAACTCAAGTTTACCGAATTTCAAGAGTACATAAGGAGACACACCTTCTGACGAAAAAAATCAAATTTCTAAGTGATTTTATTGCTAAGAAAATTTGAAGACACAGCGGACAAAACGTCATCGCGTTACGCTTGGACAAGTCGACATATGAATTCAAGATTATTGTTTTAGAGTTAATTTAAAAGACTGAATAATAAGTAATTGAATACTTTTAGATATTTATTATTTGTTCTGCAACAATCTCGTTATTTTTATAATTGTAGAATTCTTTTTATGCAATTCTGATTGAATTAACAAGTTATGTTGACATTGAATTGATAAATCACTATTTCAACATGCTATGAATTTCGAGAATAGGAGAATCTATACTTTAGGTAACATGATGATCGCATAGTGAACAAACGTTCCGTCATTCTTAAAAATGTTAACTAATACGTAATTTTTTATCCTTTGAGAGTAAAAATATAGACTGCCTCAGTGATTTATCTACTGGGTAGGCGCCGCCCACCCGAAATTTTAATTCGCCCACTCGAAAATATACAGCAGCCATTCGTCTGCTGGATGGGCCGAGTGGGCGCTGTTCACCCGAAATTTCGACTCGCCCATTCGGAAAACGAATTCCTAGATCAAACACTGTCACTGTCTAATACTACATCAATAGATTCTGAAAGAATCAATTCAATCTTTTTAAAGTTAAATATTTTCTAATATTATTTTTGATTAGAAATGGTGGTCCATCTTGTTCAATATTTTGTATGTGTGTTATATTATTGGATCAATTAAAAAATGAACATGCTGTTGATATATTTCAACGTGTACGTGCCTTACAACGACAACGTATTGCTATGATAACATCTCTAGTATGTTATTACAATGAAAACTATTATTATTTTTCTTGTTTTTTTTTTCTTTAGACACAATATGAATATCTTTATGAAATGATATTAAAATTTTTGGAAGAATCTTTTGATCTTGCTGCATCTAAATCTTCTCCGTCATTAAACAACAGTGTATATGATAATAATATGATTGATCAAGAAGATATTCATGATCGTCTTTAATAAAAAAAATATCTTTCTACGAGCCCATTTTCTAGTCTTTGTGAAATGTTTTCTTTTTTTTTTTTGTCTTATCCAGGTAATCTTCCTTTATCTCGTTGCCTTATCAATCTCATATCTATTTGTATATTTGATTAATTGTTTTTCAAAAAAAAAAAAATTTATATACTTAACAATATTAAAAAAAAAAAAACAAAAATCTTTATTCTTTTTTTTTTTTTGTTTGTTTTTTTTTCAAAAGAATTATCGTCCACAAAAAGATGAATGAATGTTAAATAAAAACAAAAAAAAAAGAAATCAATATCTATTTCTTTTTATTTTCATAGAGATTTTAATTGTATAGATAAAAATTTTTCAAGTAAATTAAGCATTACACGTGGTTGATCATATGGTACCATATGACCAGCATTACGAATAGTTGCAAGAAAAAATCGATTATTATTTGCTGTTTTTATATAACCAGCAATTTCAGAATCATTATCAGTAACTTTCCAAATTATTCGTTGTGCTTGACGAAGTTCATTAGTACCAATCCAATTAAGTTGATTAACCCATTCTATTGTTAATGGTACAGCAATAATTATATCTAATTGACCATTATAGATCATAACACTATAATTTGCATTTGCTATAGCTGATACTTTCCAAGCTATACTTTGCATCTAGAAGAATATTAAATCAATAATCGAATTCGAAATTTTCTTTTTCGTATGTAGATTTTAAGATAGGATCATAGCGAATGAATTTCTTTTTCTTTTTTATAGATAAGCATTTAAATTATTTACACAATTTAAAATAATTCATGCATTGTAGGAGAAAATCTCTGCTATCTTGCGGTATAGGATGTTGCGTAGCAGCAGATGCGCTAGTTCAATATCCTTCATACAGCCACATTGACTAATTACCTGACCTCCGATTACAAATTTTCGAAATTATAGAATTTCGTTTTTTGAATTATACGATTATTTTCACTAAAAAAAGTAAAAAATTTAGGTATTGTATGTCGAACCGCACCTCAAATGTATGAGCTTTACTTGCAAGAAACACCTATTCACATTACCTGGCCTTTTTGTAAAAAGTGATCAGGGAGGGGGAAGAGGAGGGTAGCGCCGCGAAGATCCCCGTACTACCCCTCAGAGCAAAGTCAAATCTCGTAAAATTTTTCCACTTTTTTTGACAAAATATACGAATTATAGGACGAATCGGAGCCCAGCTAATTATATACTAGTTATGAGAGCAAGCATATGTCATAACTTACCAAGGATTGTTCCTAAGTGTCGGATATCCGGACTAAATTGCTTATTATTGCCGAGATATTGTACTTTTTAGTAGAATGCTGTGGTTCACGCTCAAGCACATTAGGAAATGAAGTTTCGAATTGAAAGTTTGCATTATGACCAATCCTTCATGAGAATAAATTATTGTAATAGTTTCATATGTTTCAACTGCGTTCATATCGAACTATGCCGTTGTAGATGATCAATGTGAAAAACATGCTTTTGTCATAGTCGTATCTCAATATAGAAATAATCAAAAAGATCTGAAACTTTTAATTAAAAATGTCCTCTATTGTTGTGACTGATAACAAAATCCAATAGATATATTCTCATCGCTAGTTTGCCATCAGATAGAACTTATTCTATTAATCTATACAGTCTGTACAATTTCTTTGTGCAGTATTGTATTTTTTTATCACTCTCATACGCACTTGAACTCGTCAAAAGAAATCCTTCAGATTCATCTATAGCACATGAGTTTTTTTGCCAAAAATATTCAAGTATATGAAAAACTAAGTTTAATTAGTATTGTATCTTACCATATCATTTAGTAACATTTTTTCGACAATATCATTTTGACTACCATAAGATATATTACCAACATGAATTTGTTGTCGACGTTCAGGATGTGTAATAAATGAAACAAAATAACTTTGATCTTCTGGTGTATTTGTTAGTAAATAATTAAAATAATTTTTAATACCAGTTACATTATAAAAATAAGATGTTGTATTAAGTAGATCACCATTAAGAAGAGTATCAAATAAATGAAATGCATCTAAATATTGTTCTTGTTCAATAGCATAACGCATAAGTGCTGTTTGTAAATCAACATAAGCTTTTTGAGTTTGATCAATAAGACCGATCTATATAATAAAGAAAATAGTCATAGATTAGTTTTCTCTAGATAGGAATTCGGACTACGATTAAAAAAAAGCTATCTAATCTTAAATCAAATTTTACTATACTGATCATTGTTTCATTAAAAAAATGCTAATCTGCTAATGAAATAAAGTTAAACTATTATTTAAAATCGAATAAATAAAATAAAATTTTGATTATATCATTAATTTAGTTATACCAAAGTAGAAAATGACTTTTATATCTCAAAATAGAGAATATTTAATCTTGTTAGAAAAGATATCTTCTATTTATATATATATAATACCTGATAAAGAAAATCACCATACATATATTGATTTATTGGATCACATAAACCATTTCCAATAGTCATACCTTTTAAATTAATTTTTATTTTTACTTGTGGATTTTGATTTTCAATATGAATTTTATATGTTATTGATGGTACATATTTTCCAGCATAACTTTCACCTGTAATATAAAATGGATTTATTTGATAATTTTGATAGATTTGAAAAAATTGTATTAATGTTGAATAAAGATCACGTGCAATATCTTCTTGTGTACGTGCATAACCTTGTTCATTTAATGTAAAACTAAAACCTGTACCAACAGGATTATCAATAAAAATTAAATGATAATTTTTATTCCATGTTATTTGACGTAATTGTATATTACCATTAATATCAATATAAATAGGACCAATTTCTGTAAATAATCCAAATAATGATGAAGAACCTGGACCACCTTGTAACCAAAGTATAATTGGTGTATTTGGTTTATTTTCATTTTGTGCAGGAAAAAACCAAAAAAACATATTTGAGTTATATTCTTTATTAACAGTTAAATAACCTGAATATGATTGTTGTTGAAATGGTAATAATTTAACTAAACTATTAAAAAAACAAAAAACTTGAATAAGTAAAAAAAGAAAAAAGAAATGATAGAGATTAACCTTAAGTTTTTTGCTTCATCAATTTTTCCTTGTTCAATATAAGGTGTAAGAAAAAGTGGTTCACCAGGATCATCATTAATTTTCAAAATAGTCGGTTTTCCTGTTGGATATAATCGACGAAATGGACCTTGATATCCATTTATACTACACAATGTAGATAAACAAATGAATATGATCAATAAAATATACATTTCTTAGAAAGATAATATAAAAAAAAAAGAAGAAGAAAAAATTTTAATAATAATACAATACAAAAAAAAATATTAACATATATTGTTTTGTTTTTTAGATATCAATGCGTATCCTTGTCTATCTATGTTATCGAGGATATAGTATAAAAGGAACATTTTCTGCATTAAATAAATCTGTATCATCAACAAATTTTCTTCAAGATATTCTTGAAAAAGCAATTCTCCGTTTTTGTCCTGCTCGACGACCAAAAATATTACTTTCAACATATACTGAATGTAATGTACATTCATTATGTAATACTGCTGTAAATATTTTAATTATATATATATATATAATAGATAATCTATTAATATTTATTTATTTTAATTAGACAATTGATTTTGAATTACCAGGTAAACAAAAATTAGGTATAGGTGAATTAAATATTCCATGGTTTAAATTTAATCTTAATCGTATACTTATTGAAACAAATCGTACAATGCGTATACTTGATGCACGTTTTGTTCATGATGCATTTGAACCAAAATTAGCTGCTATACATCGTACATATCTATATCGATTTATTGTAAGTTTATTTTATGAAATTTATTCTATTTGAGTTTTTTTTATGATGAAAAATTTCTTCTTATAGACTGATCCATCAATAACAGTTATAGAACAACCATTAAGTACTTATTTATCAACACCAATATCTTTATCTTTACTTCATTCAGCTATATCACTTATTCATAATCGTTTAATTGATTATTCATCATTTACATTACCTGAAGCTCGTCATCTTTTAAAAGATACTCATCGTATTGTTGATATAAAATTATCGGAACCATCAAGTTTATTCTCAAATTTAAAATCAAAATCTTCAACTAATTTTTGTTTACAATTAACATGTACAAATTTTCTTTATCAAATGGTACGACGTTTAACAACTGAACTTATTTATGTAGCACAAGGAAAATTAACACTTAAACAATTTGAAGAAAAATTATATTCATCAAAATCTTTGAATAATAATAATAATAATAAACTTCTTGATATAAATGGACTTTATTTACAAAATGTTATGTATGATGAACAAGATTTTCAACGTTATGTTACCTATACAACAGCATTAACAACAAAGAAAAATACCATGTATCCATTAGCTCCTATAATAACTGGAGAAGAATGAAAATGTGTGATTTTCTTTTTTTTGTCATAAATAAAAATATTAAACCATTGAATTGATTTCTCTTTATTCATAGTTTAATCTCTAAAAAAAATCAGAATCTACTACTAGATGCAACATAAAAAATTCTACCATCTAGAAAATAAATCTTATTTTAATTATGTATTTTTTTTTTGATTTTCAAAATAAACTAAATTCTGTATATTCGACATTGTCAACTTAATTACTTGTTGATAAATGATCAAATCGCTTTTTTCTTTGTGTTTCATCAGTGGAAAATAATTCTATTTTTATTGACAGAAAATATTTCTCATTAGAATATGTTTATGTTGAAGCAGACAGACAGCAGAAAGATATAAACCAAAAGGTTAAGTATCCAGAAAAGAATTCTTATATGATTAGATATATTTTAAAATGGTTTTACTACAAATATGATCTCAAGGTAAATGACTTCCAGACAATAATTTCATCTGTCAATAAGACAACATCATGTTGCAATACACATCAAGAATTATTGATATGGTGTAAAGAAAATTTCATGCATTTTATAAATAATCACAGATGTCCATCAAATAGCCCTGATTTCAATGTTCTAAGTTATTATATGTAAAATACTCATATAGCAATAGAATAAATTTAAAATCTATGATTTATTAATTGATGAAATTAGAAAAAAAAAGATATTTATCATGTTCGAAATATTAAAACTTAGTCGAATAGAATTTTAACTTATTTGGAAAATAAAACATACATTATTAAAATAAACTTTACTTTACAGATTATAAAGTTATTTATGCTGTAAACTTATAATGAATTTTATTTTCTTAATAAAACGTATTTAGATTCATTTATTATACATATTCGATTCAAATGAAGAATAAACGTACTGATATTATTTTAAAAAACTATCAGTACAATATTTGCATTATTAAAATATAAAAGATTGTTTTGTTATTCTATCTATTGTCAGATACATGTTTTTTTTTTAATCTTCCAGAAATGCAATAAAAAAAAATCGGTCTTACGTAAGAACGAGACAAGCATTGATTGCAATCTGTAAGAGTTCAAATTTTTACTCCTATATTTCAATACTTCATTTTTTTTTGAATAGTATTTCACAAAACTTTATCACATTATTATTACAATAATACAAAACTATGTTATCTCTTCGATAATATAGTTTAAAATTTTGAAATTTTTAATTATTCAAAATTTTTCATTTTCCTATTAAACAATACTATTTTCGATATAAGGATATCGGATTCTCTTTGTTGTCTTCAAAGAACATATCATTTAACATGAAAACGCAAAAAAGAAAGGTATATTACCATCTGTGAAATTATATCCATATACTCAACATACATATTTTGAAAGCTACTTATTATTTTTTTTTCCTTTTTTATTAAAATAAAAATAATAATATTATTGATTATCAATTGTATCTATGTAATTATCTTACATTTATGTTCATTACTTTCTCTTGCATTTCTCATGAGAATATTATTAAAAAAAAAAAAAAATCAGAAGTCATTCATATAACTAATGTACTTTCTTACTTTCCTTCCTCTTCTTCTTCTTTTTCTCTTTCTTCTCGTTCGTTTTCTTTTTTATGCTTCAAATAAAGCGAGAAATAGATCGAGACATTTGACATATATATTCATATTACCACTTTGTTCATATACGTCTATCATATTTAACTATTAAAAAGAAAAAAAAAAGAAAAAGACAAAATACACACATAATGATTCCAATGGTATTTTTCTTATTATTAATTTTTCATCGAATTAATGGAAAATTTTTATTAAATACAGAAAATTCATCAATTATTGTTTTACGACATATTCGTTTATTAACTGATAATGAATATTATCGTATACGTTGTCCATATCATTTAAATCATTTAACTTTAACATTATTAAATTATTCAAATGAAAATTGTTTTAATTTATATACAAAATCAATACATGATAATTGTATTAATAATCGATCACCTTGTCGATTTTATGCTAAATCTGTACAAATGAATTGTAAGGATTATTCATATTCTAATCATGTTGATGTTACTTATCAATGTTCATTTTTATCTTTAACATCATCTAATAAAACATCTTTAAGCACTGAAAAGTAATATGACAATTATAGAATAGTGGCGTAATCAGGGGGTGGCCAGGTGGGGCTAAGTCCCACCACCGACTTAGTGCTCGACCAGCTGAGCGCCTCCACCGTTAAAATTCTGGTTTCGCCACTATTATAGAAATCAATAAATTAATTATTAATGTTTTTCTTTTTCAAAATTTTTAGACTATCAACATCATCTAATTTTGATATCGATGAATCAATTCATTCAACATCTTATCCCTCAAATACAATTACTTTACATGCTCTATCATTTTCATCAACATCATTTGAAACAGAAGAATCTATTGGTATATTTCTTATTGGTCTTGCAACAGTTTGTATACTTTGGTTAACTGTTTGTTGTATGTGGTTTATTCGTTGTGAACATATTAATAAAGAAGATGATGGAAAATGTGAATTACTTTCATTTGGACCTTATACAAAAAATGATAATCTAGATTTTACAATTGTATCTGAAACAAAATCTATGGTTGTTGGTAATCTATCTGGACATACAAGTACAGGTGGACTTGAAAATATTTGTGTTTATGTCAATCCACTCGAAAATAAACGTATCTCATCATTGAAAATAACACAAATCGATTGACAATCAATATACACATATATATACATGCTTGTGTAACACATAGTAAAGTGCTTACACATGCATATATATATGTGTGTGTATATGGACACATGATAATGATCGACACATCATCGATAGTTTTCAATTGTCGATCTATGTATTATAACATTGATGAACAAGTACTTTTAACTTGACTTGAGCAATTTTTCATAAAAAGATATGTAAAACAAAAAAAGAAAAAAAAACGAAGTTCATAACCATATTTCAAATAAAAGTCATGCAATCATTGAATGTTATTAATATTCTTTACTCTTAGCTAAACATTAACAAAAAAAAAAGTAACGAATATTTTATGTTTTGATAAAATAACAATACGTAATCAACATTATATTAATGTTTTTTTTTTAATAAAGATTCTATATGAATCAATTTTTATACTATGTCATTTTAAGAAGAATATAACTAATTAGTTTTTGATAAAAATTTTGAACAAAAATTTTAGAAAATTATTTCATAAAACAAAAACAAAAATTCTATTATGTTAACTTAATACTAAATATTTCGATTAGTTTATTCACTATTAACGATTGTGACTATATTTATACTAAATAATACTTTGGTATTTGATATCATCAAAAGGGCGACTCTCGTCAGTATCTATTATATCATCATTACTGCTGCAAATATGACCTCATTTACCCTCTGATCTATACTACTAATGACGAAGAATTTATTGAGGATATTATTATTAGTATTATTGTAATGTTCTAACTACCGATTGTTTCACAAACAGATAATATTTCCTGTTTAACACACATGAGATCAAAGTAATGAATGTGAACCATTCATATATCTTCCAGAAGGATAATCGCTCTCAACAAATGTTCTATTATATTGAACTTCTCTCCTAATGGACACATACAAAATACTGATTATGAACAATCACTTACCGATAATCGATATACTACTTATAGATGATATTGTAAAGATATGCTTTTTTTTTCTTCTTTAAACAAAAAAAATAATCTAAAAATTTGAAATATAAATATTTTATTTATATTTAAAATTAAAAAACATTTGTTACTGTAAGAATAGCTTTTGACTATATTAATTTTCTGTTATTCTAGTAAAAAAAATAGTTAGATATTCATTAATGATTATGTTTTAATTAATTTGCTGAAAGGTTTTCTTCAATGATTTTCATTTTTTCACATTGAATACAATAATCAAAACTATAGTTCGATTGATTATGTTTATCAATTAGCTACTATGAACAAAGTATATTCATTGTATATATCAAAGTATGTTTATACATAATATGACTTGACATAGTCATTCATTTTACTTTGATGTATGCATAAGTATAAGTCTGCTGTTTTTTATTTTTTATTTTATATGAATCAATACTGATTTAAAATATTATTGAACATTTTGTTAAGATTATCTGTCTATGCTATTTTATTGAAAAGTTTTTTTTTCCTCTATTGATGCTTTTTTTAATCGTATAATACAGAATTTTCATTCTATATATATATATATTTGAAAGAACATGTGAAAATACAGAAGTCACATTTGCTAACGGAGCTAGTTTTTGACCTTTTCTTTATTGAATATCTCGTGAAAATATCATAATCCAGTTTTGCCAGTAGAGCCATAATATATACTAAAAAGTGTTATAATTCTTAAATATATTTGATTCAAGATTAACTTTTGAGAGAAAATGTCTTCAATAAGAATAATACATGTGAAGAAGGACTTGTACAAATCCAAATCGATTATTTCAAATAAACTAATTTTTATGACTCTTGTTTTAAATGAATTACTATTGATTATTATTAATAAATTTTATCTTTAATTAAAATTGAACATGATTGATAAACCTGTTCACACCTATTTTTCTCATTTAACAAGATAATTTATTAAAATTTCGACTAATACTTCAAATCAATGCCTTCAAAATAAAATCCATTTGATTGAAATATTCAATTAATTATTTATGTCTTACGAGGAAATCTCTCCAGGTGTTAATCACCGATCGAGCTTATATTTTGCCCATAAGTAAGACTCGATGAGATTAGCAGAAGCTCAGAAAGATTTCTCTCCGTAGGCTGTCCTTCCGGAGTTACGACCGTTTTATTGGTTTTTCGACCTCTGGCAATGGTATTTATAGGGAAGCCCAACAATAGAATTTTGTCCATAAACAGGTCTCATGGTTATTAGAATGTCCTAAAAATTTTCAGCTAAAATGAATGTTTCTTTCTCAAGATATTGAATTTTCACGGAACGATCATATTTCAAAGACAAAGGTCAAAAAATTGAGCTTCTTGAAAACTCAATATTTCGAGAAAGAAATGTTTAAGGACATTCTAGTGACCATGAGACTTGTTTATGAACAAAATTCTATTGTTGGGCTTCTCTATAAATACCATTGCCAGAGGTCGAAAAACCAGTAAAACAGTCATAACTCCAGAAGGACAGTCTATGGGGACAAATCTTTCTGGACTTCTGCTAGTCTCATCGAGTCTTACTTATGAGCCCGATCGATGATTAACACTTGGAGAGGTTCCCTCGTTAGAAAACTTGAAATTTTAATTAAATTATTAAGTAAATTTTCGGTTTGAAGAATCCAGAACAATCATTCTAACAGTTGAAAACAACATAACAAACGTTCATTATCTCTCCGAATATTTTCATCATTCTATAAAAATTACCAAAGACAATAACACTTTTTCTTTTCATTATTGATAAACTTCTTGTTTTGAATTTCGGATCTTTTTTTCAAATAGATCCATTCTCAAAAAAGAAAAAAAAAACTTTATTAAATCTATTCTCAATTATCCTTATAAATTAAATAAAGTAAAACATATTTCTATTTTTTTCTTTTTAGTTGAAAAAAAATCAACTGAATCTGTTCTGTTTTATCAACACTCAAGGATATCATACGAGGATAAAACAGAAAAGACAAATAAGTATAGCAAAAAAGAAAAAAAAAAAGAAGAAAACCACAGACAAAAGAAAAAAAAGAGAGTAAAGAAAAGAAAAACAAAACATATTGAATTCTTATTCTTCTTTTCAAAGATTTAAACGGTTCACCAGAAAGGAACACACACACACGCACAGAGAAGAAAAAAGAAGAAGAATACACATCCCTGAGCTATCAGTCGCGAATGGGAAATGTAATAGAAAAATAGTTAAGCGAAGATAATAAAGACAAAAAGAAAGAAAATGAACAAACCAGGTTAACCAAGCAAATAAACACGCATACAACAAAATGTTGTCCATAATATAGAAATATAAGTTAAAGAAATAGAACAACAAAGAAAAAAAAAAAAAATCATTTGTTTTTTGTTTTTTTGTACATCAAGAAAAGCCGAGCAAATTTTGGACGGCACGTGAAGCTTCATCATCTTGTGATTGATTATTATCTTGATGATGATTATCAATATCAAGATCATCAAAGAAAAAATTTGTTGAATCTGATATATCAATAGGATTTTCATGTTGTTCAATAACACCACAATCAACAATTGAATTAATTGCTAATTGTGTTTCATCAGTTGTTCGTATTATTTCATCATTTATTGGATCACTATTAAATAAATCATTATAATCAGCATCCGACATTGATACACCAAGATTATAATTTGTTCTATTTGAAAGAAAATCATATGTAGATGAAGGTAATGGTGATGATATTTCTTCAAGTATAGGTACAGATATTGGTCTGTCTAAAATAATAAAAAAAGTAATATGTACTGTTTTTTTTTGTTTGTTAATTTTAAAAAAAAAAAGTAAGAATTATTTTACTTTCAACATCTACAGCACGTCTTTTTCTTGTTTCATAATTAGTTTTTTCAATTTCTAACTGTTCACGAAGATCATCAAGTCTCATTTTTTCAAATAAATATTTATCATAACTTTCATTATTTAACTATAACAAAAAAAAAAACAAATTTATAAACATTATTTTTAATGATATTTATACATTTCGATTATAATATTTACTTGATCATTCGATATAGTATATCGTGATATAGATACATTAATACGTTCACTTGCAGATAATAAACGTTTTGCTTCGATTTCAAATGATTCATCAACTAGAAATAAATATGAATAAAATTATATAATATTCATTTTCATTTTTTTTTGTTTTTACATTGTCGACATTCATCCTCTGTTGGTTCATATGTTGGTGGTGCGGGTTTAGTAAATACATGATAACGTGTTAAACGTTTTATAGCATCACCACGTGTTAAAAAACGTGATTTAAAATCTGGTTTTAATACATGTGCTTGATCTTTACGTAATTGTTGACCGATTCTAAAAGAAAAAATTTTATATTTTTGAAAAATTATAACAAAACAAAAAAAAAAGAATTTAAACTTACAAATCAGCACTTGATATACGTAAAGAACGTGTAGCATTTGTATTTGGTGTATTTAATATTGTTGTTGAAGCTGATGGAGTACCTAATAAAATTTTTGTTCGAGGATTCTTAACAAAAAAAAAAAGAAAATTTAATTTTAAAATTATAATTCTTATAATCATATATCTTTAATATTATATTTCTAATAATTTTTAATAGTACAGTTTTAGTTATTCTATTAAACGTGCGAATTTACTTTAAAACGACAGGTTTTTTTTTTTACTTTGTAATATCATTTACAATTAAAGTTGCTAGAGGAGTAATAGTAAAAAAATTCTCATTCTCATTCTAATCAATTGTCATAAGACTCCTCTTCCCTCAAAATTCGATCTAAGACTAGAAACATTCGAATTCAAAATTTGCTCTGTGGTCTGCAGTCTATACATTTAATATGTTTTTTCTTTTTGGTTTAAAAGAGCATGTCAGAATACAGAGAGTCCTTTTTTTTTTAAGGGAAAAAGAAAGCGAGCGAAAGTTCAATGACTCAGAGAACCTCTTCAAAAATGGCATTCTAATTATATATAAAGGTCTGTATATAATAATAAAAACAAAAGTGGCTCTCATAGGTACTGCAGTTTTACGGGTACTTTCAAACAAAAAAACAAATCTATTGGACTACATTGAAGATTTTTCAAGAGATCTTGAAGATGTGACCGAAAAAAATCGAAAAAGATTTTCGAATAGAGAATGACGGAAATCTTCAAAAATTTTTGTCATTTACACTGAAAAAAAGGTTTCGAATTCGTTGCAATTCTCTGAACCATTTTAGGTTCGGTACAGACCACTACGAAAATCTTGAAAAAGTGTCCTGAGTCAATGACAATCAATTTTAGTCACCCAAAGTTTTGTACGAAACCTTATTGAGAGTTTCGTATTGTCTTCGTAAATGGTTCGGTACGCTGCAAAAAAATTTGTATGATTACGGAACCATTTAGGAAGACAATACGAAACCCTCAAAAGATTTCGTACAAAAGTTTGGGTGACTAAAATTGATTGTCATTGATTCAGGACACTTTTTCAAGTTTTTCGTAGTGATCTGTACCGAACCTAAAATGGTTCAGAGAATTGCAACGAATTCGAAACCTTTTTTGGTACGGTATTGTAAGATTTTAAATTAAAACATACCACAGTTAATGTTGTAGTTGTATTTAATCCAGTTGCTGCATTTTTTGCTAAATATTTTGGTACTAATTCTCTTTGTCCTCTAGAAAATTGTTGTTGTTTATCAATAGGTAAAGCAGCTATTTGCATATCTAATTTTTGTATTTGAAGTTTTTGTTCAAATGTTAATTCCATAGGTAAAATACCTTGAGTCTAATAAAAAATTTTAATTAAACTAAAAATCATTAAAATTTTTCAATATAAATTTTTTGTTTTTTTACTTGTAAATCAAGTAAATTAACATGACGAAGTTTTTTTAATACAGCATTTAATAATTCATCTTGTTTAGCAAGTGGTAATTGTATAAGTGTTGTACCATTTGATTTTTGTTGTGTTGTTATAGTTGATGTTTCACGTTTAATTATTGATGGATTTGATAATAATGTATTAAGTGTTGTCGATTGATCAAGTAAACGTTGTCGATGTTGACCATTAATTCGTGCTTGTTCAACTGATTGTGATAATGTTTCACGATAACGTATAATACGTGTTGAAAATTCACGATCTTTTTCTGTTGTTGAATGCATACGTGATAAATATGTATCAATTAAAGTGATTTGTTTTTCTGGATCTAATTATGAATTATTTTTTTTTTTTGTAAAATTTTGATACAAAAAAAAATTACAAAAAAGTTTACCTTTACCATTTGCTTGAAGATCATTCATTAATTGAGTTGTTAGATCACTGTTTGTTGATACAGATAAATCTATTAGAAATAGAATAATTAAATTAAAAAATAATATTTTTTTTTTTTAAATTTTATTATTTTACTTTTATCACTTATTTTTGATTGTATATTATCATTATTTGTTACTTGTACAATTATATTACCGGTTTGAGGTTTAGATAAAATAGGAGTTGATAATCGTTGTCCTGTGGTCATCATCATTAAACTACAAAAAAACAAAAAAAGAAAATAATAATAATAATATTAAAAAATCTAATACTTGGATGTTGGACTACTAGTTGTTGTTGGACGAACAACTCGAAGTGTTGTTGGTATCGATGATTGATTAGATGAAGGATTTGGTTGAATAATACCTAATAAAACAAACACAAAAAAAAATTTCCTTACTTAAAATAAAACTAAATTCATACACATTATCTCTTTATTATATTATCAAATATAAGATAGGATTTTTCTTTTTTCTTACCATACCTCATGAACTTCCAAACAATAGAATTATCCTTGATATACATGGTTGAATAATTACATTGTTCGAAACATATATATATATTTACAAGGTACTTTAATACTAATAGTTACATTCTAGGATCATTTATATGGTTAGTTTTATTATATATATTTAAAAACTCTCAATTTTCTTGAGACAAAAAAAAAGAATTTATTTACTATTTTGAGTTGTTGAACCATTTTGTATAATTTGTGTTGGTGCAACTTGTTGTGTAACAGTTGTTGAAGTCTTTTAAAAAAATTTAAATTAAATAAAAATTTAAAAAAAAAACTAATTTTTTTATCTTTACACTTGTTGATTGTTGTGTTGATGAATATTTTTGTTGTAAAAGTTTTGTAAACATACTTAATGGTATTAAAGTTTGATTACCATTAATATTAATAGCAACCATTTGTTGTTGCTGCTGTTGCTGTTGTTGTTGTTGTTGTTGTTGTTGTTGTTGAATAACCGTTTGATTTAATATAACATTAACATTTGTTTGTGAACCAATTGTTTGATTAAGTATACGTGGTGTTGTTTCATTTGTTGTTATAGATTGTTGTGGCATTGTTGTTATTAATGGTGAATTTGTATTAAAATTAAATGTATTTTGTGTTATTTGTACATTTGTATTATTTGTTGTATTTTGATTATAAATATTATTATTATTATTATTATTTGTTGTTAAACGATTTTGTTCATTTGATAAACGTTGTTGAGATCCAGTAGAATTATTATTTGACTAGAAGAATATTTTATTAGAAGAATATTAATTTTAATTTTTTAAATATATTTACAGATTTTGTTGATGAACGAAGAAATGCATCAAGTGCAGCTGGATCTCTATAGAAATAAAGAAAATTAATTGTATAAAATTTAATATGTTTTGTTTTGTTTTTTTTTCTTACTGAATAATGTCGATAATTGATCGACCTTGACTCATTATTTTGAAGATAACTAAATGAAAAAAAAAAGAAACATAAATTATTTCTATTAAGAATAAATAAATATTATCTACCAATAAAAAATAAAATAAATCATCTAACATTAAGATATATATCTTTTGTATTTGTTTAATATATCTAGAAAAAAAAAACAACATTCGATTATTAAAAATCTATTCTTTGAACTATAAGGAGTTAAATGAGGTATGACACATAATATGTTTTTTTTTTTTTGTTTATAATGAAATTATCTTAAATTTTATTTGTTTTGTATTTCTTTTAGAGTTTTTTTTTTTGCTTTGATGAAAAAGAAAAAAAAAAGATCATCGATTGATCTTTAATTGAGGTTATGTTTTTTGAACTCGTGAACCTCGTTTTTTTTTCCAATACCGGACAAGGCCAAAAATAGAGAAAAAAAAAACGAGAGAATAATTTCTGTGACTCATTTACAAGACCTCACTTTGCTTTCTTGTCTGGTCTATCTCTCTCTCTCTCTCTCTCTCTTGCTCCTTCTTTTATTGAAAAAAATATATATATATCGAAAACGAGAGAGAGAGAGGGAGAGAGCTTTTTTTCTCCTATCGCCATTTTGTCTGTCTGAAGTTGTTTGTGTTTGATAAAACATCCATGAGGAGGCAAAGTCAAATGCTTTTCGAATAGTAGAATAAAAGATAATAGTTGGTTTGTTATGATTTCTTTTTGGGATGTTAAAAATAGAAAAAAAGAATGATTGATATAAAAAAATTATGGTCAAAAATAAATTCGATTAGTTTAGATAAAGATGGCGCTATTGAAAGAAAAGAAATTTTTTTTATAATTACGTAAATAAGCGTCAAAATGTGATCAGCTGATATGTGTCATCAATGGTTGGATAATGAATGGAGGGGAATAGAAAAAACGATAATTGAATGGCGTTTGTCTTTGTTATGTTTTTTTTTTTAATCTCAAGATTATTACTTTCAATCTAAGTGATTAAATAGTTTACATTTTTTGTTTTTTTGTTTCTTATCAATATGTAATAAAACTATTTGAAATTCACTCTAAATATATATTTCATGGTACTATTTAAACAATTATTATTTGTAATATGTTTTCTATTAATTAATAATTGTTTTAGTCAATTAAATAATTCAACAATAAATTGTTTAATAGGACCTAATTTTTGGTGTTTAAATGAAACAACTGAATTTTTATGTGATTTTCATAATAAAACTATAGGTCTATGTGGTTTTTCAAATAAACGTTGTCAAATAAAAAAAGGTTATTATCATTTGTAGTTTTGTCTTATTTATTTATTTATTTTTGTTTGCTATAGGTGATGATTTTTGTAAATCATCAACTCAACAACAATCACCATTTAAATTTAATGGTGGTTTAACTGGTGTTGATGATAATTATTTTTCTTATTATATATTAAGTCTTTATTGGCCACCATCAATTTGTCCATTAATATATAATGAAACAAATGATTTATTAAATTATTTTTGTTCATTATATACAAATATAAATCAACCAGGTCGTGAACGTTTAGTATTACATGGTCTTTGGCCAACATTTTTAACATATGGTAATTATCAAGGTTGGCCACAATTTTGTTCATCAATATATAATGATTGGTCATATTGTCATATTAATGGAAATTTATGTCCATGGAAAAATACAACATTACATGATTTTTCACAAAATCATTATGAATATTGTTTATCAATAGAAAATATTGAACAATGTCTTATTAATGATAGAAAAATTCTTCAAAATGAATATGAACGTTTAAAAATTTTTGCACCTGGATATTTAAATAAATTTAATTTATTTATTAATCATGAATGGACAAAACATGGTAAGAAAAGAAAAGAAAAAAACGAAATTGATTTTAAAATAAATATTTTTGTATCATAAAGGTTCATGTTGTTCATCAATATTTAATAATAATATATCCAATTATTTAGCTTATATGCTTGATTTAACTGATATGTTTACACGACCTGGTAGTTTAACTTATGAGGTAAAATAATTTTAAATATCATCCATAAAAGAACGCATAGATAACAAAAAAAAGGAGGAATGGATGTCCGAACTCATTAATCATTATAAGATCTTTTCTCCGAAGTTAAGACTACGAAAGATTATAGTTGTTTTTATTTAATTTTGACTTTTTTCTAAGAAAATATTTTTGATTTACTTTCCTGAAAAATTGAATCATAGTCAATCAACAATATTCATATCATTTGTAAAAGAATATTATTTTAATAACTGAAATTTTTGTTTATTATTAATGAAAAGTGTGTTATTATTTCTATTTTTGATTTAATTTTTCAATAAAATGTTATTTATAAGGAGCAGTATTAATATTTTTCTGAACTGACATGACCTGAGTAATCATACAGAGATGAAAATATTATTCTTAAGTGGAACAATGAATCTTTTACGACTAGTAATATTTTCAGTATCAGTTTTCTTTTCTGAAGTTCTTTTTATTCATATCAGTGCAACGTGACGCTTTGGTTTTTGTTTTCAAGTGATATTATTAAACATAGTGTTAATGTATCTGATGAAACTATCTCGTAAAATTTTAAACTATTCTACTAACGCAGGACACTAGATGTTCCTTCTATGGGATATTTCGCTTCAAGAAAAAATTGAAGCAAAGGGATTTTGACTTGAAATTTTGTTCATCAATAACTGATATGCCATTTTATATTATCAACCATTGTTGTTTACTCTTGGAAATACGGCATGTTGAAGAGAAGTCGGATTTTGTGAGTTTTTTGCAAAATGTTGCCGATTTTTTTCTGTGTTCAATATTTCAACAATAAAACATCTGTTTTGACGGAAAATTTAAGGATCATATAAACTGATTAAGGGCGAAATTTCAGATCGAAATTCCTTTTGTTCAGATTTTTTGAAGGTGCAAGTTTTCTGATAAAGGACATTGTGTAATTCTAGAGGAAGAACAAGATGCTTCGTTTTAGCTATAGTATGAGCATACTGAGGGTACATTAGCTCTATTTTTATGGTTGTCTTCCTTGTGTTGCAAGAAAAATAGATATTGAATTGATCTCTTCAATAACTAAAAGAGTAAAAGTCTAATTCAATTTGAATATATTTCACGAACTTTAATTTTATTTCTTTTATCATGAAATTATTTTATATGTTTTTCAAAAAAAACCTCTCATGATAGAAATTAATATAACTAGACTTTGTTGAATTTTTATTGTTTGATAGGTTTTTTTTCTTTTATTTGTGAATGTAAACATTTCTCAGTAATATAGGTAGTATTATTAGTTCCTATAAAAGCCACTGTATGATAGATAATAACCGGGGTTGTCATATAAAAGTTGACATATATTACTTTGTCTGATATTGTTAACAATAAATGTCATTTGAAGGACTAGCTCTTCTCTTGTTGACCTAAATTTTGATAATTATTTTCATAGTATATTACAATAACATATCTGACTGTGATAACCATTAATAATATCACATCTAATTTGTTAACTACTTAGAAACTTCTTCAAATTTCCATAGAATATCATATATATATATAAAATGATCTGTTCTAAGTTCTCATTAATTGATTAATTAATCGATATCATATACTATATCAAATGCACTAAGATTCCACTATAAATTAATAGAAGTTACTTCGATATTAATTAATAAACTATAATTATAATGTTATTTTATGCTTAATCTCATGATATGAATCATTTTATAGACATCATTTGTTGTAAAGATAATTCATATATATATATTTGTCTGAACTTGAAAATGACGAGAACATATAGATAGAAAGTATATTATACATGACTTTTCTAGGTTATGTAATTTATTAAAAAAAAAAAAAATAAATAAACGAAACATATATTGATTATTTACTATAATTGTATATTAAAAGATTTCATATGAAAAAAAAAAATCAAATCAAATTTTTATATAAATCTATGTTTCGATTAGAATCGACTTGTCTTTTTTAATTTTCTTTAGTATATTCAATATAATGCTGGAAAAAAAATTAATTTAACTTATCTTTTATCAATTTTTAATCAAACAGCAATAATTATTTGTAATTCTAAATGTGAATTAAAAGAAATTGAATTATGTATAAATCGTGATTATTATACTGGTTTACCAAATCAATTAATAACATGTCCATTAGGTGCACGTAATGCAAGTGATACATGTAAAGATATTCGATGTGAATATATATTTATTCCATTACGAAATAAAATACAATTAAATTCTAATCAAATAATATGGAAAAAATTTATATTATTTATTTTTATTTTTTTTTTTTTTTTTTAAATTTATTTTCATTTTTTTGTGGTAGTTGTTATACAAATTTTTATTCTTTTTGAGACAATTATATATATATATATACGTATTATTAGTATTAGAAGTTTTGTTTTATATAAATCTTGTTTTATCAATAAAAATGATCGATATTTTTTTTTATCAAATATGGGTGGTTAACAAAAAAGAGAAAAAGAATAAGATTAAAAAAAACAAAAAAAAAAGGGTTAAAAATTGTTTCTTTCGTTCATTATTCTTTTTTTTGTTTAATGAGGCTTCGGTTGGGCTGCTACCTTTTTGATTGCATCGACATCATCTTGAGTTATTTCAACAAGTTGTTTTATTTGTTGTGGTTCATTAAGTAAAGCCAAATAGAGTTGACCAATTCTTGGTCGTAATGGTTCAGGTGCTGGTACTAATCTATGAGTTTTTGGATCAGATATCTGACCACCACTACCTGTTTGCATATAATGAAAATGGGGTTCTTCATGTTCGATTGGTGAACCACGTACTTGATCAAATTTATCAAATTCAAGTGTATAATGATTTGTTGGTGGTAAAGATCGTGTTGACATACCTAAGTACATTTAATATAATGAGAATTTTATTTGTCTAAGATACAAACCTCTTGCATAATCAGTTAAAGGACCAATAAATGCAAAATCAGCAGCAGCTACTAATTTAAGAGCTTCTTCTCGACCAGTAAGAATACCCATAATGTATTTTTAAAAAAAATCTAAACAAAAAAAAATAATTAAACATAAATGATTACTGATCTTTGAGTATGTAAAGGTCAATGTATTCTTACGTTTTCTTGCTATACGAACAAGTCTTTTTTTTTTTTTTCTATCGTCGACAAGTAGAACTCTCTCTTTCTTTTTTGCTTAATGATCGAACATTATCTGTACATTCTATTTTTCTCTGTCTCTCTCTCTCTGTTTTCTGCGGGTGTGTGTGCGCCATCTTACTCTCTTTTTTTCTGAGGCCATAGAAATCTCTCTTTAATTACGTTTCTATCTCTATCCAAACGAATCATAGAAGAAAATTGTTTATGCATGTCTTTTTTTGGGTAATGGTGGTAGTAGTTGTAAGCTTATACACACGCACATATATATATATGTTCTGGAACCAGCGCACATGCATCCTTCTTCTTTTTTTTTTGTCCTACTACGAAATAGATAGGTGATGACAAATTACCGTACCGAGCGTTGGCAACTTGTCTATGCTTTCCTACAAGACTGACACACTATACTTATTACAAGTTAATCTTCGATGAGTAAATCTTTGCTTGACCAAATTAAGAATGTTTTTGTTGTTGTTGTTTTTTTTTTTTTTTTCTTCTTTATTTCTCATCTCGTTCGTCTTAAATGTCAATCATGTCATCAGATGTCAAAACAAAAAAAAAGAAAACTATATTGAACAAAAAGAAAAAAAAAAAGAAAGATATGATGATTAGGAAAATAGATGCCACCTACCAAGGATTTTCTTACGTGCTACTATCTAATACATACATCTAGCTAGGATACTTATTAACGATACATCAATGAATATGCAGAAAAGATACTACTAGACAGCTGGATGCATCATTACAAACATCACCCGAGCGGATAACGTTTATTTATCTAGATTAGAAGCAGAAGAAAAAGAAAAACGATACTCAGTCGGCCAAGTGATATTCAATACACCATACTGTTATCGTCATAATTGTTCTTATATGGCGATCAAGCTAGTGATGTTAAGCTTATTATAAAATGCCTTTTGGAGCTAACATATCCATATATGTATATATACAATGGCTTTCGTCATCAACAAGAACAAAATGTGATAGATAGATCGAACGACCACCATAGAATACTGAGTGACAGGTCGGTCGTCGTTTGTCAACGACATCATCGCCTATACAAGCTGCTATTCAATCATCATTAGACTATGTTTATATGTTTGAGTACTTACTTCTTTTTTCTTTTTTTCTAGTACACATATGTATTGTAAGTAAGAACATCTGTATCCTATTACTCATTTAATTCTTCTTTTAAATTGATGTCAAAAAAACTTTTCTTTTCAATATCCAAAAAAAAAAGAAGTTTTTATTCTACGAAATTTTGTACGTAAATATTTATCTATTATTAATTGGCGATAAGATATTCATTTTATGAATATATTATAATGTGTTTATTTAATATATGCAGAATGATATTAATTTACTTTAATTGACATGAGATGTGTCAAAGCTTTATCGAATCGTCTAAGAAAAGAAGGGAAAAAATATTGTTTGAATTCATAATTGAAAAATTATAATTAAATTTTTTAATGATATTTTTAGAAACTAAATCAATCAAAGAAAATTTCAGACAAAAAACTAAACAATAAAAACAAAAAAGTTATATGCATCAGTTAGTAGAAGAAACCTCTCTAGACGTTAAAACACCTTTTTCTTGCTTTTTTACGAACGAAATAATGTTTATTTAATTAATGAGTGCTAGAAAGTAATATTAAAGTTTAAGAATGATTTAGATCATTGTTCTTGAAATATTGAAATTTGTTCTTTTTTTTTCACAATAATAAAGCTATGATCTTCTTTAGGTCACCTAGACCGTTGACTTTGGACTTTAAACTTTGTATAAACAAAGTTCTTAATGAGATTAACTTCTTTGATATTTTCTTTCTAGATATATAAATATATCAACAAGATTTACTTTGACACATGAAAGAATCTTATATATATAGAATATATCAAGATAGGAGATGTAAAATTTCGATATTTTAAGAAACAAAAAAAAAGTCAAACTTCTCTATTATTTATTAGATAAACATTATCGTAATTGAAAAACAATTTGATACTTAGAGAAGTTACCTTGTTAGTTAATGAAAATATGAATATTTAATATGTAGAAATCAATTCTAAAATTTATTTTCTCTAACAAGGGAACTATTCGAACTTGATACGTGCTATTAATCCCAAAAGAAGATCTTAAAATGAGATTAATAAAAGATTAAAAGAATTCATCCCTAATGACCGATTAACACTGAATTACTTGATTTTTGTTTTCCTTTGTAAATACTATCTAAAAACTTAAATTATAAAGTTTTAATTTAAAAATTTTTCCTTATAGATAAATCCAATGATTCTCTTAGTAATAATATGAAAGTTTTAGTCGAAAAAACAAAACGAAGAAATAGTTTTTTTTTATATTATTTTCGTTTATTATAATAATTGTGATATAATATTAAATTTATTATTATCTAAAATAAATATGTTAGATAGAAAAAAAAAAAATTTTATTTCATTTATTAATTAATGAAGAAAAAAAAGAAAAAGAAAATGTTTATAGCTAAATAAAGGAAAAAAAAATTGTTTTTTTGTTTTTAATAATTATAAATTATTATGAAATATCTAAAGGTGGCATAAGAAGAGGTGCACTTGATTCAATAATTTCTTGTGGTTTTATTTCAAGATTATATTTATCTAATTGTCTTGTTATATTATTATCAAATACATATCTATTATTTGTATTTCTTATTTGTGATATTGGTTGTAATTGTACATCTGTAGTTGTTAATTTATAATTATCAAGAAATTCATCAACTGCTTCCCAAAAAGTACTACTAGTATTTGGATTAGCTATAACATGAGTTATTGATGATGGAAAACCAGATATTTCAAGTTGTGAACTATATTGAATTAAAGCTTGAAGATCTTGATCTTGTAATGCTGCTAAAGGAACCTAAAAAAAAATAAAATTATACGTTGTATTTTTATTATTATTCAATTGAATAAACCTCAGAATGTATTGGATGATTAGGTTCTGGACTACTCCATCCTGGTGATGAATCTGATGTTTCATGATGATTTGGTATTGATGATGCAACAATTTGAGAACGAGGTGAAAGTACACGTCGTTGTTCTAATTCATTATCATATACTGGTATTTGATCAGATGTCATTGATGTAAATGATATTGGTGAATTTGGTACTAATGGTGGAGTTTGTAAACCAACAGATTCTACTGGAACAAATACTGATGATCCTGTTTCCATTGATGGACTTTCAGGTGAAATAAATTCAATAATTGGTAATGTTGATGAAGGTCTTGAATTAACATATTCATTTATTTTTGATGTTGATACAAAAAGTGGATTATTTGTTTGAATAAATTCAAATATAGGTGATGTTGATGAAGGTTTTGTATCAAAATATGTATTTATTGGTAATGTTGGTTGAATAGATGATGATTTTACATTAGCATATGTACTTGTTGGTGATGGTGTTGATGTAATTGATGAAAATTTTGAATTAGCATATGTAACTATTGGTGGTGTTGTTGGTACTGATGGAGGTTTTGAACTAACATATTCATTTATTTTTGATGATGATACAAAGATTGGAATTTTTGTTTCAATATATTCAGAAATTTGTGGTGTTGATGTAGCTGATGAACGTTTTGAATCACCTTGTACACTTCTTGGTGATGTTGTTGTAATTGATGTAAGTTTTGAACCACTATATGTATTTAATGATTGTAAAACTGATGAAGGTTTTGAACTAACAGATCGATTTACTGTTGATGTTGATAAATAAGCTTGATTTTTTGTTTCGACAAGTTCAGATATACGTGATGTTGATGTAGTTGATGAAGATTTTGAATCAACATGTGCATTTATAGGTGATGTTATTGGTACAGATGGAAGTTTTGAAGAAATATATCCATTGGTTGGTGATACAACAGATGTATTTTTTGTTTCAATATAATCAGAAATTCCTGATGTTGATGCATTTGATGAAGGTTTTGAATGAACACGTATTTTTAATGGTAATGTTGATGAATTTTTTGTTGCTATAAATTCTGATATAGATGATGTTGGTGTAGTTAATGAAAGTTTTGAATTGATATGTCCATTTACTAGTAATGATGGTGATGATGATGATGGAATTGTTGGATTTTTTGTTGCAATAAATTCAGATATTGGTGGTACTGGTGCTACAGTTACATTGAGTGGCTTTAACAAAAACAAAAGAATTTTTTTTTTTTGTATAGAATTGAAAAATGAAAATCTTACAACAAGAGTAGATCCACTAGTTGGTTCAACAGTTAAGTCTGAATTTGCTGTTGTTACTCTTGTTGATGATGATGCTACAGATTCATGTGAAGGTGAATTAGATCGTTGACCATTAGTTGAACGTATTGGTATATTTGAAAATAATGGTTTTTGTTCTAATGATGATTTACGTGATGAAGTTTTTGATGGAACTTAAATTCAAAAATAAATATTTAATTTAAAAGAATAAATAATATATATACCTAAATTTTTTGTTTTTGTTGTAGAATTTATATTATTTGATTGAAATTGTAATTTAAGTTGTTCAAAAAAATCTTGTTGTGATGTTTGAAGTCTTTCAATTTCATCTTTTAATTCACTTATTTCATCTCGAAGTAAATTTGATTGATTATGAATTTCTTCAAGATATGTTGGTGTTGTTGATGTATATTGAGAATTTGATGTTAGTGCTGTATCAACTGTTACTGATGATACACCTGATAATTGTCGAGGTTTTTTTATATATTCTTTTAAATCATCTGTTGATGTTAATTGATTACGTTTTGATATTTGTTGTGGTTTTCTAACATAATAACGTCGTTCAATAATACGTTCAAGACCATAGGCAATATCATTATTAAAAACATTTGATCTAATAAGAAAAAGCTATTGTTCTTTT